GGTGTTTGTTTTTGCATTCTACCATTTGTTTTGTTTCAACAGCACCTGTCTTTCCTGGCTGCCACCAGCCAGGTGCTATTTGCATCTCTCTATCCTCTCCCAAATCTGCCTCTCTCAATTTGACTCCTCCAGGATTTTTTCCACCTTTCTCCTCTGGTCTCCAGGTATTTATTTACATGTTGTTTCTAGGACACTTTCTTTTGGGATRGGAAAAAATTGTGAAGGTAACCTGAAGGTCAGTGGAGTAGCCGTGAGATTCARTCCTTCACTTGGTAATCACAGGTTTGAATTTATAGTGCTGAGTTACGGGCAAATGGAGGGTCTTTGCTTCTCCCATCCCATTTGTGAGTTTGAGTATGAGCTGTTGATCAAAATGACACATTTAAGATCTGGGTACTACTGTCTGCTTTTTGTGTCTTTCACAAAGCAGGTTCCCCTCTGGAAGTTGCTGGTACTGTTAGATTTCACAGCAGAGTGAACATTTCAAGGAACCTGTCTCCCTCTAGTTGCAGCGTATTTTTTTTTCAGAGAAACCTTCGTGCTGCTACTGGATACTATGTTTATGCTACTGGGATTAATGTTAAACCAAACCCTTTCTGTATGTTTGATTATCCAAACAAGGATTGTGTGATCAGTAGGAGTAAAGGAGAAGAAGCAGAAAAGAAAGACTGTTGTSGTAATTGCTCTGTGCAGGTTTTCATCCTCTTTCACTCACACCCATTTTGAAGTGGAAACTTTTGAGAAAAGGTCTGCCAGCTCTTCTGTGAATTTATGGTCATTGCTCGGTGGTCTTGTCCTCAAAGTTCAGAAAGCATAACAAAAAATTGATGTAGTAACAGAAAAAAAAATGCTACTAGTTCTGTCTTCTTCCTCCAGCACAATCACTTTTCTTGTTTGCTGCTTTATTTTGCCTTTTTTTTTTCAAACTGCATATTTTATAAACTCATGAGTCAAGTCCCAGATTTTCTTGCTGAGAAGTCTTGCAGACCCCCCACCTCCTTGCCATGCATTTTAATTCATATCTCATGGATATGGAACCATTTTTCCTCTGTCTGTGAGTCCTTGTTGCCATCCACTGTTAATAAAAATATGTCTGATTTAAAGAACACAACAACTAAACATAATATTTTGCTTTGTTTTGGTACAGAAACCTTACAGTTCTTKTAAGTTCTTAGAAGTCTTATAGCAGAGTTTTTGGGCAAAACTGTTAAACAAATAACAACAACAATATGCAGCACCAAAATACARTTAATCAACAGTTCGTAAGAAATACACAGCCATTTGTAAGAAATTTGTTTTAGAGGCCATGCAGATGTATCTCTTTCTTCTGTCCCGGAAACATGGAAGCTTTCAACAGCATTTCTGTAATTAATGAATGTGGAATGGAGGAGTAAAAATTAGCTGGGAGATGAACCAGTCTAGTGAGTGGTGGATCTATTTGTTGAATGTATGGAGAGGGACATAATGTCAAAAAACACTTTTATGGAAATTCTAATAATAAAAAAAAGGAAAGAAAAGTGCTGCAAAATACATTTAGAGTTACACTGTAGTTCATAATAGCTGCCTATGTATAGAAGTGCTAGAAACTCTTAATGTTCTGGTTTATTTTAGTGACAGCTTGATGCCCACGTGCTACAAGGAGGCCCCTGTGAGACTGTGATGAAATTTATGTACAGAGGAAGAGTGCCTCACCATGTGCTTGCTTTTACAGCAGGACATAACACCGACTATTTTGTGAATATTTCTGAAGGACACCAATAAACTTTCCTATAACCATCAGTCAATCTTTCAGGAGCTAGTGAGGGTTTTCAGCTTCGAATCCATATGAGGTTGGATTTGTATGACCTTGGTCATGTAGTGAATGCAGTAAGAAAATATGGTAATAGGACAAAGGGATGACAGTTTAAAGGCTGGTGAAGGAATGTAGTATGTTCACTGTCAAACAGACTTGTGACCAGAAGGAACTTTTTTGTTCTTAGCTCTATGAGAATGCCTTGTTTTCTTGTCATGGGAGAGCAACTGCTCCTGAAAAAACGAGTGGACGAGTTGATCTTTTTAGCTGTGCTTTTTCTCTGAGGTGCAAGCCTRCTCTTGCAAATATGTAAATTAACACAGGTATGTTGAGGGATGTATCTCTGGTTGCTGCAACCGTACTTGCTAAATGCTTTGTTCTGTGGGCTCCATTGTTTTAATCTAGTGTTTGTTTTGAGAAGTGTTCTCTTGTGTTGTTTGATTTTATTTATTATAAAACAAGAAAAAATGTCAACACCTTTTAGAAAGAACCCAAGTAAATAATGAACCAAAACATTAATTCAACGGCAAATAAACTTTTGTCCAGTCTAACACAGAAGCTTTCTTAAAGGCTTCATGGGTCAGTTTATGTAATGCTGGCTGTATGTTTAAAACTTTGCAGTCTTTAGCTCAGAACATGCTTCTTCAGTTAGCTTGTTATTTTTTTAGAGCAAACACAGTTAAGCAAAACCTTTCTACCTAACATGTGCTTTCCTTCTTTGATTTTTTCCTGTTTGGACAAAAAAAGCAAACAAAATAACCCTAAACCAAAGACCAAACCACTGAAAAAGTAAGAAATTAGCAATTGCTCCAAACATAGGATTTGCACAAGAATGATTTTCCTTCTGTGTTCCTGTTTTTGCTTACAGAAGAGGAATTATTCAGTAATTTATCCGTATTCAATGAAACATGTGTGAGGTGGCAAAGGAAAACCGGAAGACTGGGAGTGCAGGAAACATACACAGTAAGTAGGGCAATAATGGAAGTATTTGAGATTGGGAATAACTTTGTCCTGATTATATCTGGTGATTCAGCAGTGGATGTTTGTTTTGTGGGTTTTGTTTGTATGGTAGTGTTTCTTGATCTTCCCAGTGAAACACTTAGAAACCTGGAGGTGATTTGTTGAGTTAGGAAAGAAAAAAATTCCTGTCCTAAAGGTAAGGGAAAAATTCAAAAGCTTCAGGGTCTCACTCCAGTGAAACACCTAAAGGCCTGCTTGAATCAATAAGAATTATTTAGCTTAAGTTTATGTTTTAGTGAAATTCTGTTGAAAAGCTCAAACTCACATTGCCATAGAAAACATTGTAAAACTTGGGCTCCGTYGCTGTCTTTGACAAGCATTTCAAGTCAACAGTGTATTGCTTGCAGTTGCTGGATGTAAGTTGTTCTAGAAATGCAAGGTATTGAAATGGTGTGCCTTGCTCAAAAGGTCCAACCAATGTAAATGTGAACATTTTAGAACCTTTTTTCATGGAAACTGAAAACAACCTTTATAGCTACTGGTTTTTTTTTTTTTTTTTTTTTTTTTTTTTTTTTTTAATTTAACATGAGCATAAGAATAAAAATGAAGATATGAATTCTCAGAGACAAAACAAATAGTTTGGTCAGTGTTACTGGAAGCCAAAACAACATGATAAGAATTCTCATGTTTTCAAAATAACAATGCAACAAAGGGGTATTTTTGTGTGTGTTGTTTGGTTTTAGGTTTTTTTTGTTTTATTTTTTTTCAGTATGTACAAGTGAGGGAAAAAATRAGCAAGATTATTTAGGTTGTCCAGGGTAGAAACATKAATATGGGAAACATTTCAAGGTTTGGTAATAATTTTGGAAAACAACCCATCTTTCTCCTCCTGGGTTATAACCAAAGTATTTTCGGTTTGTATGCTTCTATTGAGCACTGCTGAGATGGAAAAAAAACAGCTTTCCAGTTCCCCTGAAAGGTTTTTATGTAGCCAGTGGTAACTGGCACATTCTGGGTCTCTGATATGATGTGCTCTGTGCACATGTTTTTTCTGAATTCAGCTGTCTGAAAGACACCTCAGAATAGCCAGAGAAGGTGAGCTTTGTCTGTCTTTTCATGTCATACAAGCAACAGATTTCCTTTTCACTACACTGGGACAGTCTTAGGGAAKATTATCTTTTACTGTGGTTTGACATTAAGTTTTACTGCTGCATCTGTAGGGCAAGGGGGGAAACTAGCAAAAGAGAAGGGAAGTAACAAGGAGATGTATTTTATATTTGTGTGCTGTAAAAAAAAAAACAACATTTGCTTATACCTTACAATTTGAGTTGGAGGTATTTTTAGGGTCTCAGTAGATTAGGTTGGTAATAGATTGGATTTGATTCCCTAATAGATTCCTTCTATTTTTATAGAAATATATGGAAAAATATGAATAGCAGTAACAGGCAGAAGAAACAAAAGATCCAGTTTATTAAGCCATTTTGTAGCTAGTCCAAAGCCTATTTTTATTCTTTGAAATTATACTCTCAACCAGATGTAATCCTGTGTTCCCTTTAGGAGTTAGTAGGATTAAATAAACTAGTGTTTTGCTTTTTGGAGAGCCACAACAAATTGCGGGATTGTCTTTGTTTCAATAGTTTCATATACTGGGCCAAAGATTGGATGAGAAGACATTCTCAGAAGATGTGATATTTAACATCAGTACAAATGAAGATAATCCAAAGGTGTGTTTGGATCTGAACTCTGGAAGTAACTACGTGGTGAATATAACCACCATTTCTTCCACCAACATCACCGTCTCAGTTACAGTAGCAATTCAAACAAAGGGTAGGTTGTGTTTTGTATTCTGTGTGGCTATAAAAGAACTTACTGTGCTGCAGAGTTCACTGATTTGAGTCTAACAGGAAAGTGGGCTGTTTCCTAGACTACATAATGCTTTATGCTGACCATGTGCATGTAGCTACTGTCTGCATCCTCTTTTTCTGCAAGATGTTTTCCTTTCTGCTCACTTGCTCATTGACTCTCTGAGTAAGGAGARCAGTGGCAGTCAATGCCCTCAGAAAGATTTGGCAAATTTGCTTTTTCAGGATTTGCCTTCTGCCTGAGGCAGGAGTGATACAGTGACGTTTCAGGCTATGTGCCAGAATTTCAGTCCATGGTACAGTGCTTACTGGTTTGCATTTTTGGCTTTCAAATATGATTCTCTGCCTGTAGGAGATTTCCCTGTTGCTTAGCTGTGAGATACAGATCTACATGGTATGAGCATTATAGACAATTCTCCTGTGTTTGCCAGTGATTAACAGAGTTCTGTTATCAGTAATTGTACAAAAGRCACGTATTAACAGTTGATTTCTGTAATATTTCAGTCATGGAGACTTTAAGCTTGCCCTCTGACATACTAATTCTGGTGAGACAGACCTTGAGAAATAATTGCTTGTGGAATTAACAAAAATGCTTTTTCTTGCATGCATTTTCCTAAGGGGCATCGACTGTGACAAATTGTTCTGTGATAGTTTTATTTACATCAGGAGGTCTGAACCCTTGATCTTTCCATCATTATAACCATGTATGCCTGGACAAGTAAGTTGTGTGTTGGATTTCCTGAATAGCATGCTTGAGTTTTTCCAAGAGCCATTTTCTCTGGAAAATGATCATGCTTTACTTATCTTCTTCGTTCATTAAAAAAAAATAATGACAACCTATCTCCATCTCAGAAGAGAATTAAATTAAAAACCTTCTTTTTGAATTTTATTCTCAGCTACTCATATTCAATTAAGTTGAAGCTTAGAGTTTTTATAATAAGTTTATCCCTTTTTTAATTGTCTCTACAGTAAAGGAAGCTTTCAATAATGTGTTAATTTTTAATGATACCTGCTTGAAATGGAGGAGAAATGTCAGGGGAACTGATGTGGAAGACACGTACTCAGTAAGTGACAATCTATGTTTTGAAACTAGAAAGCAATTTTTATCAATCACCTTTGTGAAAAAACTAATTTTTCAAACACTCACTGCTAGTAGTGTTCCTCATTATAATAATGTTTCTCATAAAAACCCAAAGAGTAATCTTGCTGTCAGCCAGAGAAAGAAACCACCACGCTCTGTTGTAGTCACCTGCTTCTTACTTATTTTGTCCCATACTTTACTCTTAATTTGCTTTCCTTGTCTGTACTTTCAAGTTTGCCATGTTCAGGCCTCAGAGAACTCTATTTCTGTTCTGCTGAGACAGCTCTCTCTACCTTGTGGTATGCCTTCAGTCCTCCCTTATTCCAGCAGGGAATTTCTACATGACCTACCTCTGGACTCTTGACCTACCAGGACTCTTGACCTCTTGCTGTTGTTCTCAGGTCYCCCTGTGTTAGAAGGCACCAAGAGATTATCTGAAGGCATAGCATCTATTATAAAGCAAAATTAGTACACAATTAATGTACAGCAACCATTTTAGTTTTCCTTAACAGAGGAATCATTTGATCAGGAGAAGCCTTAATTTAATAACTTCTTATCAGCCATCAACAATAAAACACAAAATCCTACTGAAACAAAACCCCATGAGCCTGGAAACATGGGTGTCTGTAGACAGATCTTGGAGTGTAGCTGGCAATTTGACATGGGTCCAAATGATTTGATTTTGTCTTGGTCCTCGGGGTGATTCTGGAGAGGTTCATGTGACCTTACTTTTACAACTCACCAGGAGGGTATCCTAAAATGAAAGTGAGCTGTTGCTGGAAGCCTTTATGTTAGCAGGAAACAGAGAYTGGGGGAAATTACAGTACTAATAAAAAAAAAAAGAGGTAGACTAGGCAGAGATAYGGAAGAATCAGGACAATGTCAGATSTGACCAAGAGGGACTGCAATTCCTGTCAAATTTTGGAAGTTTGGAGTAACTATCATTGGAGTTTGAATAACTATCAGTGCCGTAGTTTTGACAGACTGTATGCAGTGGTGCTTTGTGTTGCTTCTTCTAATAAACACCATGAGAATGGCTAAATGCAAGTAATGTATTGTAACATTTCAATTTTCTTGCTGTGATTGTTTGGTTACAGTTTCATGTGCAAGGCCAGCGTTGGTATCAGAAGAACTTCTTTCATGAAATGATCTTTGAATTTTCCACACACAAGCATGCTCCTGAAGTCTGTTTAGATTTGCAGCCAGGCACCAATTACTCTATTAATATTTCCATGGTAGCTTTGAATTTTTCACTGCTTGTTTCTATGACAACTCAAATTACAGGTAGGTCCTGCCATTTATTCTATATATTTACAGAAGCACCCAGTGGGTGTGAGAGACTCAAGTGAATCTACATTGTTGATCTCAGTGGTGTGTGGTGGATTGTCAGTGTATTCTTTCCATGCTCAAAATTGTCCATTGTTTTTTTTTCACAAGTTTTGTGGGTTTGCCAGTCCAAAGACAGAAGGGGGAGAGAAATAGAGGTGCAGAGCGTTAATCTTGGGATATCAGGGAAAAGATGGTTTCATGGGTTAGGCAAAAGACTGGTGGAGTCTAGGAGAGGGTGGTTAAATTTTCCTCCCTGTTAGAGGCTAAGTCACTTTTTCTGTAAAACTTCTCTCCACAGTGGAKTTAATCGCTCAGCTCCACTTTGTATGGATATTTATGTGACAACAGAAACAGATTCCACTAAAGTCTGCAAGAATCCAGAGTACAGAGTGCAGAAATCTGAAAGTAGCTCAGACAGATACTTTTGCCTCTAATTGGCAGAGTAGAAAACATAAAAGACATTGGAGCAAATAAGCTTCCCAAGGAAGGGCTTTGGATTCACAATTTAGCAAGATGTATGGCACTAAAATGTGGCCRTGTATGGCCGTGATGAGAAGCATCTTACAGCTCTTTCTTTTTGTTTAGAACAGTTTTGTACCATCCCTGTACTGTCAGACTCTCTGTATCAGGTGAAGTGCAGTGCAGTGTTTGTTGATGGTATCAGTCTTCTGTCAGGGATGCAAATTGTAATAAGTAAGAATGAAAACTCYGTGAGTGTCTTGTAACTCTATTCAGCCACTAGGTGGAATCAATTCTCTTCTGACTGCTTAGGTAGAGCTGGGAATGTCTCATGGTTTTGGAATTGATAGTATTATTGTATTTTTAATCATAAATCTGACAGTTTTAAGTTTCAAGAAAGGTAAAACAGCTCTTGTTTCTGAAAGCTGCTGTTTAAGATATGCAATGACCTCTGTTTCTTTTTAAAAAGTAWAATTTCAGTAATGATTTGGTAATTCCTTATCACAAGTTTCCTAATGGTCACTCAAAAGTAGTGTCTATGAGTTTATGAGTACATATGTCTTTCTAAAAAAACTAGTAAGATATCTCAGAATTTTGTTGATTGAGGTAATTTTTAAATACGTAGGGCAAAGGAATAGCCCTTTATCATCCAGTGGTTTTTCCTCAGTTCTGCAGGATTGCATCAGGTCACTTACTCAGCAGAGTTTTGGAGAGCACTTTGCAGCAGGTGCAGTGTGAAATGGTATTTGTGTCTTGGCAGCTGGCATCTTTTCCTCTCTGCTGAGTTAGTGTTTAACAAATGCACRTGCACAGCACCAGGAAAGGTCTTTGTGTAAAAGCTAGGTCGTTTCCATTTTGAAAGAAGATTTTACTACACGAGCCCTTTTATATCTGATARTTACTTTATTCAATAAGCAATAAAAGATAGGTGTTGCTCTGTCATATTAGGCATCTTTATCTAAAACTTGACATGCATCACTTCTCATTTTTTAGCCTCCATTGAAAAAACCATAAAAGTACATCTTTTTGTAGTTTTTGCAGAAATTGGGTGAAAATTGAAAAGCCAATAATAAGCTTGCTGCAAAACTTGCCAAATAATGTGAATTTAAATAAGATTAATTGTCTTATTATCTCATCTATGGTGAAAAGGATACAGCTGAAATAATTCTTCTGGCAGTGTTCCTTTGACTTGTATCTTATGTCTTGGAATTGCATTACCTATGCAAGCAGCTTAATTTATATAAAAACTCTAATTTATGAATAGGTRTATAATTTTCTTCATTTGTCCAGCTGTTTTGTAATCCTGTGTGTAGTTAAGCCGGATGGGTTTTTTCCGTGGTGGATGGAATGGTCTCAGTTTATCTGCCAACGTAATTCTGAAAAGTGGCTTTATTGGCTCTAGTGATTTTCTGGCTACTTGATATTGTAAAAATGCAAAATATGCCTTAAGCAYGGAAGCTCTAGTGAAACTGAGACTTACAAAAGTGTGTTACTGATTGTGTTCTCACTGATTGTTAGGGATTCATATGCCATCCTTTCAGAAGTACATGGTCAGTTGTTCTGTTTCCACAGCTGGGGGCAAATTCAGATGTTGTGTCTCCTTGACTTTCACACACCTYGTACATTTTGAGAGTTTGGAAAACCTTAACTGTGGGGTTTTGAGTTGTGTGAAGAGGCTTGTCCCAGACAATTGGATGTTCACTGCCTTACAGACTTAATTTCCTGACAAAGATAGTAGTCTGTGTAAATTTTTAGACTGTTGCAGAATATGGTAAGTATGTAAATGCCAGCAGTAAGTTTGTGTATTTTTTTCAAAAAAGCAAGATTTATGAATGCATGTTRTGAAAATTACTTCACTATCCTGTCTATATCTATGACTATATCCATCCTGAATGAKGATATGTTATATACATAGTATTTTTAGAAAAAAGAAAACAAAACAAGAACTTGGGACCTAAAAGCCTGGTTTTGTCCCTGGCAAGTAGCATCCTCTAAAAAAAATAATTCCATGCTGAGCACAAAGTTGGTTTTGCCCATCACTTGTGAACGTTGAATACAAATGCTTCATGGATCATGGTATTCCATGACATATCAAGAATAATCTTGGAGAGCCTTCTCCTTCCTCTCTGTGTGTGGAAAATGTACTGCATTACAGATCAGGTTGTGATGTCTGGTTTGTTCATTTGCCCATGGATGTACACACACACATCAAAGATAGACTACTGTTCTGCTCTGTTGTAGGATCGAAAAGATTTACACTTATTCCTTCATAAAGAGAATTCTTTAAGGTCTGGAAAATGAGGGAGAACCCAAAATCTGCTTTCCAGTGAGGAATTGAAAGACMATTGGAGGTGTGGTGATCTGACAGTGTAACAAAGCATTACAAACTTATAGTGATGTGTATCAACTTATGGTGTTGTGTGTCCTCAACCTCATAGTGTAATTAGCATAAAGTAAAATTAATTAAATGCAAAATGGAAATCGAACAAGGCAGAAGTAGGCTACAGTGAGGAGGAAGTTAGATTGTAAGTCCTGTTCAGCTGTGGGTTTATACCTGAAAGGTCATACAGTATCCTGKTAGTACTTCCCCTTTAAAATGCAATCACAGAATTGCAGAGCAGTTTGAGTTGGGAGCAATCTGTAAAGGTCATTTACTCCAACCCCCCTGCAATCAGATCAGGTAATTCAGACCCACATCCAACCTAATCTTCATTGTTTCCAGGGATGGGGCTTTGACACACTCTCTGCGCAACTGATCCCAGTATATCATGATCCACAGTGGAAAAAATATCTTCCTTGCCATCTAGTCTGAATCTACCATCTTAAATTAAAACTATAACTTTTGTGTTGTCAGTACAGATGATACTAGTGTTCCCATCAGTCTAGTAAAACCTTTGAGTACTGAAAGGTCTGCAGTAAGGTCTCTCTGGAGCCTCCTCATCTCCAGGCTACACAGCCCCAACTCTCTCAGCCTTTCCTCAAAGGACAGGTGTTCCATCCCTCTAACAATTGTTATGGCCCTCCTCTGAGCTCTGTTGGAGTGGCCGGTCCAACAGCAYCACTTCTTTCCTGTTCTGGGGACCCCCGGGCTGGATGCAGCCCTGCATGTGGGATCTCACAAGAGTTGAGGGGAAAAATCTCCTCATTTGCCCTCCTGACCACATTCCTCTGGATGCAGCTCTGGACACAGTGGCTTTATGAACTGCAAATGGAAATTGCCAGATCATGTTGCACTGCTTATCTGCCAGTACTCCAAAATCCTTCTCCTCAGAGCTGCTCTCAGTCTGTTCTCCACACAGCCTGAATTTGGCTTTATCCCAGCCCAGGTGCTGCACCTTGCACTTGGCCTCATTCAACCTCACAAAGTTCCCATGGCGTGTTTCCTGAGCTTGTCYGGGTCCCTCTGGATGGTATCCCATCTCTTAGGCATGTCAACCATSGCAGTCAGCTTGGTGTCATCTGGCTGATGGCTTGTATCACAGTAGTTTTTTTTTTTTAAGCTAAGTTGCTTACCGTTGCATTTTCTGTTTGGCTTAACTGCTAATAGGTCTGTATTGCATTGTTTTTAATGTTACTTGTGCAATATAGCAAGACTAATTAAAGCAGTTAATAATACTAGATCCATAAAATAWGCGCCACTCATCTATTGTGAGGAAGCAGGGAAACATCTTCAGTTTTCACTTTACCTAGCTCTAAAATCTGATACTCAGAAAGCTTTGAACTGAATTCTCCGCACAGAGGAGCAGAGCTAGGGTTTGAATCCGCGGTAGAGAAGGAACAAATCAGCACTTCCCAGTTGCCTTCATGTCCATCTCACTATCCAGGTGTGCCCCTTGTGCAGTGATGCTGTGCTAGCAGCTCAGATCCTGTGGCTCTTGCTGTATCAAAGTGCCACTGTTGATGAGTGCAGCCCTGGCAGCAGGGAAGCTGTGGCCTGTTCTCCAGCCTGGCACTACAAGGAAATAAAGGATTTAGGGAAATAAAGGAAATTATTTCCATACTGTTTGCTTTGGGCGGATGGCTACAGAAGAAAAACAAACAAAAAAACCTCATCTCTCAGCTGAAAAAGCACCTTGCTGAGTTCTCCTTGACCGAATTTTCCTCCTCTCCCATGACCAGGTTTGTGTAAGTGCCTTCATCTTGGTGAATATGAACAGCTGCCAGTCTCCTGGCACTCATCCCATGTAGGCAGCTTCAGATCATAGAAAGGAGCTGCACACTCAGCCAAGGTCCAGCAGAAGGCAGAGCTGCAGGATGTGAGTGAGGCAGGGGGTGTAGGAAGGGGCTGCCACTGCAGGCCTGGGTGCTCATGCTGTGACTCCAGCACACACAGGCAAGGTCCTGACATCGGCTTAGGAAGTGTGGCGGGAGCAGTGGTGGCTGTTTGCAGGGTCCCAGAGCAGACCTCTTTCCCTGAGGTTAGGAGGGGGCCATATCAGGTCCACTCTTGTGGAAGGGCCAATCATGCCCCTGACCCTGACACAAAAGCACCCAGCTCCAATTCTGCTGCCTGGCCCTGAGCAGCTCCTCCTGGGTCAGCAGAACAACAGAGTGAGCACTCAACTGTTTCATATCTCATGTTTTCTGTATTAGACTTTTGTTCCTAGAGATCACAAGGTGCTGCAGGAAGAGCCAGAGCTGGTGACAAAGCACAGAAATGTTCAGTAGGGATGAGCAGGAGACAGGGATCCCCCTGTCTCACTCACACACGTGGCAGTGGCGTCACACGGCCATGACACAGCCTGGAAAGGATCTGCACAAGAAGCAGCAAGATGTAGGCAAATTTATTTTTAAAGGTGCCATTTCTGGCCCCCAGGTGCTGTGCAGCTGGAATCAGGGCATCTTCAGGCCCTGCTCTGACAGAAAATGCCTGGTGGGGCACAGCCTATGGCTGTGCACTGCTGTCCCTTGGGGACAGTGGCACGTCACTTGTCAGCGTGGAAAAGACTGAGAGGTGCCAGCTGAGGTCCCCTAAAGCACATCCCTCCGTTTTCATCTTTCCTTCCTTGTCCAGGAGCGTTCCAGTTCATACACCCTGACCCTGGGCAGCGTTTTCCCTGTGGGAAAGGCCTCTTTGTGTGGCAGAGCTGGGGCTGTCCCAGAGCTGCAGCCGCGACCCCACAGCGGCACTGGGACCGTCCGTGCGTCCGCCCCGCTGGGGCCAAACCTTTGTGGGGATGGACAGGATGGGTGACAGTCAGACACAGAGCAGGAACAAAGGCTGCAGTCAGCACAGGCAATCACATGAGCGGCATTTCCAGAAATGACCAGTCTTTAAAGAAGATTTAAATGATCTTTTTCTGTAGATGTGGTCTTGGTTTGTTCATCCTCCTTCCCTCCCTCTCTTTACATAATGTTCCTCTCCAAGTGAAAAAACTCTTCTTACTCTGTATTGGAACAATTATGTTTTAATATGTACAGTAAAGTTAATTACTCTTTAAACAGTAATACAAATGGTAAACAGCTCCTTTTCTATTGTATCRATATTTTTACCTTATTTTAGTTTTATTTTTATAGCAGCGTTTTTTGACRTCCTTGTTTTAAAATTCAGTAAAGACATTTTGGACATTAAGCCCTCAAATAACCATGAAAGAAATCTGCTCTTTGCAGGAAATTAAGATTATGCAAATGGTTCTTATTTCACCAAAGGGTTCTTTTAGCTTTCACCTGGCCTTAAGAGGAGATTTTGATTTGACTTCTTTGAACTCTTAAGTTCAGTGAAGAGTTGCTGTGTGATTTTGGACTTTGTTGTTCAATTCTATTATTATTTTTAAAGTTTTGTCTCTGCTCTTAGAGGAAAACGAAGCAGGCTTTAGGTCCAGCACTGAGGCATGTGATAATTGTCGGTTTTGCTATAGCAGTAGGCATTTCCTGGCATCTTCTTTCTTCCCTSTATCTTTCCTTCAGTTTCAGAGAGAAAATTAGTAGATGGATTCTTACAGTAGAACATTAGCCTCTATGTGAAATGTTCAAGTATTGCTAACATAGCCCTGCTATGACAAGGAATTGCTTGGAGTGGGACTCTGGATATAATCTCTGGATAGAGTCTCTGAATATACTTTAATTTCTTGCTATGGTCTTTTCTGTGTCCTTGGTGTTGCTACAGATATGTTAGTCTGTTCTGCTGGTGAAGAGTTAAAAAAATTAATTCTTTAAGAAAGCCAAGGTGCTAACAGTACCTGAACAGACTGGAGGATCTTGATTTCTTCTCACAATTCACTGAGTGCAAGTCCTTACTTTTCTGTAGTATTTCCCWTTTGCTTCCAGCTGTTCTATGTGGTATTAAGTCAATATTTTTAACATGTGGATTTTTAAATCTGGCATTAATTATGATTTCCCAGCAGACTTCTTTTTTTAGATTTTATTTTTAAATGTTAGATTTCTGGCAAAGTTATTCTTTATTGAAAAAGTCAGAGTGGGAATATAYTGCATACAGAATAACTCCTTCAGAGTTTATTTTCTGATCATAGAATTAAAAACTAAACTATTCCTTTCTATTATAATTATAATTATAATTATGACTATTACTACTCCTTCACATTGCTGCAAGCTGTTCAGTCTTTTTATTAAAACAGGTATATTGTGTTCTGTGAGCTTGTTGATTTTAATAACTAGCATTTTTTGCCAGAAAATTACCCAGCAAAAGACTCCAACCTTTAACAGCACTATGTGGGTTTTTTTCAGATTTTTCTCTCTTTTACCCATTTACTAGGGGTATCAGTTCTGGATGGCTTCTTATTTTCATGATTTGTATTTTCCTGTCAAATTTTTGAAATTTAAAAAGTAGTTACCCTAACAATAATTTGTAATTAAYTGTTACCCTAACAAATTTACCCTAAATTACCCTAGTCGGCATCTTTTTGTCATCTTAGTCCACATCTGGCTTCCCCTTGTGCTGTTTATCTCGAAAAATAATGCAGAACTGTTGCATACAATGCACATTCTGGCTGGCRTAAGCCAAAATTTAGGAAAATTCCCCAATTTTCCTTGGAAATCGAAAATTCTAAAGGGAAATCAATATTAATCTCATGGTGAATGTGAAAGGAAAGGAAGACAGAAGGAGTATACCAGATAAATCTACCCTGACAGATATATTTTCCTGTCACTGTTGACAGTGTATGTGCTGAGGTACCGCTGAAAGTAACAGATAATTTATGGCACCTAAGTTATSTTTGCTTAAGTTTGCAATATGCAAAGGGTATAAAGATAGGCTGTCAAATATTGTTGTTCATTTATTTTGTTGAGATAGAAATTCTGCCTGTACCTTTTATGATATCTGCTGTTGCAGATGCACTGAAAAGACCCAAAGCAAAGACCATTTCCTGTTCTTGCAGGCAGTACATTTAATTAACTCRGGAAATTCTCTGAAAGGGTTTTCTGCCCTGTCTCTGCTAGAGGGAAACAATGCTTTGTAGAACAATGGCTTTCACAGAATCAGAATATGCTGAGCTGGAAGGGACCCATGTGGATCATCGAAGTCCAACTCCTGGCCCTGACCAGGACATCCCAAGGAGTCACTCCATGTGCCTGAGAGCACTGTCAAAGTGCTTCTTGATCTCTGTCAGGTTTGGTGCTGTGACCACTGCCCTGGAGAGCCTGTTCAGTGCCCAAACACCCTCTGGGTGAAGAACCGTGAAATGGCCACACCTGGGCCTTTGGTGGTATATCCTAGTATTTCATAGTCTGTTTCTTATGCATTTTAGAGCAGTATTTCCTACTACTCAAAGGAAATTAGAAGATTTAGTACAAATTAGCACAAATTGTTAGTRGCCCAGCTATATCACCTTGTACTATATACTGGTGAATTTAATGCCGGTTTTGCAAAACAACAGCTGTAAAGGTGATTCAATTCTCCTTGTGTAATGTCTCTGTATTTCTAACATTGAGCAGGAAAATTCATCTGTACACACTGGGATTTGGCACCATCATTGCTAACAAAATGCCAGCAGTRCTAACCTCTAATAACCTTCCTACACCTCAGTACTTCTGCTTTCAAYGTGATGCATATTTGTAGCTCCCTTTTTAGTGGTTATTTACCCTCTTGACAGTTTTTCTAACAAGCCTCATTTTCTCCTGCAAAACTAATTATTTTCTGTGCTTCAAAATATACATGCAGCTGTTTGTATTCCAGCTCTTTGAAAAAAATTATGCATCTCAGCAATATTTTGCCTGATGTAACACTGGGAAATCTGCGATGGTTTTCATTTGTTTCTCTCCATGACATGGATTATTCTCTCTAGCTCTGAAGCCTTGGTTTTCTGTACATAAGCATGGCATTTCTTACTCTTCAGTCAGATATCACATCAGCAGGTTGAGACCCTGGTGCTTAAAAATCCTAGCTGTGTCTTTATTTACCTGTGCAAGATTTTTCAGATTTCTGGGGTAGTTGGTGTCCATGCTTCACATTCTGCTCACTCAGTTATGCTGAAGCTATTTTCATTTTTGCTTCCAGGCAGGTAGTGCTAATTTCCGTATCAGTGTGCAGCTGTCATCATTGCCATTGAAATTTGAGGCAGAAGTATTTGTTCAGTGTTGGCCTTGATGCAATTTCCTGCTAAAACAGATTAGAATTCTGTATCCATATTGAAATGCAGTTTAATGGCATGGATATTGCTACCTGACTGTCAGCAGTAACTAAGGAAGTTGCCCTCTTGAAAGTACTTTTTGCACAACTAAATTCTCCTTCATTCATACCATTGTATTTCTTGCACTGGGCTTTGTGCATTTTGTATTTTTCCTCTCCGTGGCCGTTTCAATTAGTCTAATAAATAATGCTGCTTCTCCCAATAAAGTCTTCATGTCTCATTTATTTGTAGCCAGCCACCATTTTTGGTCATCTCTAGTTTTGCCAGCTAGCAGATATATTTCAATACAGAGTTTTGACTTGGGGCTGCCAGGCCATCATGGTCATATTTCCTCTGTGTTTTCCTTGACCAGTTCATGTTGCCTGCAGGTTTTAGCTGTCTGGAGTTCAAGGCTTAGTTTAGGATGCTTTGGGGGAAAAGTAGCTAGCAATTAAAAAAGGAACTGGAAAGTAGCTGGAAGCTGATGCCCAAAGTATTTCTAAAAYCTTTCTGAACCACTGGTGTTTGTTTACTTTTTAGATCCCCCTTTCCCAGAAGTAGAATTTGTTGCAGTTAAAGGTTCTGCACCTTTGCTCAGACTCCGGAAAGCAGAAGATCAAAATGGACCGATCAGGTTTGTCTCTGTGCTCTCCACCCTTTCAGAGAGTTTTCTGCAGATTTATGTTACATGCAGATTAGAATTGTTTGGGGTTGCTAGGTTATTTTTGTTAGCAATGGGAGAAAATTTAGGCTGTAACTCCCATGAGTTAACAGGATGATATTTAGCTATAGGCTTTCCCCTGTTTTCTGGAGCAAAATCCTGGTTTTGATAATTGTGAGTTTTCACCACTGACTTTGTGGTTTGGTTTTGTTTTTTTCTCTTTCCCCGTTATCCACAGTGAGGTTACAATAGACCTGCACTGATGGATCCAAACACACTTCTACTTGTGTTTTTTCTTTTCCAAAAAACTCGTGCAGCCAGTATGTTTTGACCCCCAGAGAGAGAAACAGTGAATAAAGTCCTCATTTGTGCAGATTCTGAAGCAGTGTTTTCATGTTAGTCTGTCACTACCAAAATGTATTTCTAGAGTAAGAGGACTTAGCCCTCACCAAGTGCTCTTGGTGACAGAACGAAAAGGTAGCAATGACTCAGTATTACACTGAAAGGTAATAATATTTCATAGAACAGCTGGCATAACAACCCTAACAAGTAGTCTTCCTATGGTTGAATACCATAGACTAAACATTGTTTTGAGATGTATGGAGACAGATTTGATTCATTTTTTTTACAAATGGTACCTGTCCTCTCCTCCTTTCAATAGAAAAAGTCTTATTTCTGGGAAGGCGTGAATCACTTTTAGAGAAAATGGTGTGTTATTCTTAGGTGAGTTTCAGTGAGAGGAGGAGGAATAGGAAGGTAACCTGAAATACCTCAGTTTGGTGTTTTTCTGAACACAAATAAACATGTAACATCATCATGTGCATGTCGTGAGAAGACCCAGCTCTAATCTGTGCATGCATTGTTTTTGCTTGAAAATGAAGTGCAGCATGCACACACAGAGAAATATTTTAGTATAAGAAGTGTTTGTATTGGACATCAGTAATAAAAACCAGTTAAGACATTACGAGTAGCAAGAAAAAATATTAATTAATGAATATCTGATGCTTAGTTCATTGAAATGAGGGCTAATACTTATTTTTTTCTGTTTCACTCTAGTCTTTATCAAGTGATTGTGCTTCCTCTGGATTTGCAGAGCACTTTTATTTGTGACTCCTTTGCTGCTGCAACTTTCTTTAGTAACACCACTGACATTAAAGGATATGTGGCAGCTGAATTTCAGGCGAAGGACGTTGCTGATAATATGTCAATTGCTCTTGGAGACAGACATTACTATGGGAAATTTTATAATGCTCCTTTAAAGCTGGGAGAAGAGTATTGYGTTTTTTTGAGAATAATAAGTGAGTGGAATAAGGTAATGGATGTTTTAAAACCGTTTCTTTACACTTCTTGAATGAAATGTTGCTGGGGGAAAAGAGGAAAATGTTAGCTCTGTGTTCAATTTTTTATGACGCTCCAAGGATCTCCTAGTTGACAGAAGTAGATTAAATCTGAAGCTCTTTAAATATCACTTGTAATTCCTTAACAATATTTATGTCATTATATTGTTGAAGCAACTCTGGATGCCAAAAGGGAAACAATGGAAAATCATTAAAAATGATGGGCCATCACTGCCCTCTGTAATTGAGGATGTCTGTATTGGACCAGAATTTACTGAAATACTTTAGTATTAGAATTTGAAAATTACTCTGTAACAATGACAAATTCACCCATTTTAATTTTTAATTAAATGTTTTATAACAAAATATTCCAATTCTCAAAATGGCATGGAAAACTGCATTTAACCATGTGTTGTTACCTTCCACAAGGCAGTGAGTGTCAACTACAGCTCCACTGAGAAAACCTCATGAAAAAATATATTATTAATATTAATTTTTTGCCTTTTTAAAGTAAATATGTATTTTAATTTAAAAACAAACATTTTCTAAAATGTACATTTCCTCTAGTTTTCCAGCTGTATCTAGCTAGGAGTCAGCAATTTGAAGTTTTTTTTATACTATATGTCTCAGCAGTAGAAAGTTTTTCTCATATGGGACAGGTGATAACTCTTTATGTGCAAAACAGTTCCTGAATGTCAAATGTAAGCACTAAACTAAGCAAGCCCTAAGAAAAGAAATACCTAAACAGTGCCTCACCTTGCCATCTGAAAAAAAGTTAAAATACAGTTTTTAGGACTTTATGTTTATAGCACAAAGCAAGGACGCATGCAAAAACTGATCCATGAGTCACTTATAAACAATTCTCTACAATTTTCGAAGCCTACACACACATATCAGTAAGTTAAAATAGCCTCTGTTGAGAAATGTAGCTGCCTCAGTCCAAAGTGAGTGAGATAAAACAAGTGCATGTAATAAGATGATTCTGTTTTCTACTGATCTGGGCAGTATATATTTTGTGTAGCATCTATTTAACAAGAATCTGARTGGTTTTTATAGCAGAGATGACTTGGTTTCTGATCCTGATAGTAGTCTGTTGTTTGTCATAAATTTCTAATTAATTATGTGAGGGGAAAAGTAGGGAAATGACAATAGAAGATATTTTATTTCATAAATAATGTTAAGTTAGCCCCAAATTGTCCTAGAATTTGGACAATGAACTGTATTTTATAGACAAATTTACTCTGTGGAGCAGGATTGTTAATCAATCAAATGTATATAACTTTGGCCTCTTTAAGGGCTACTAAATATGTCTTTGAGCTTAATTTGTTTATCATTGGGCTTTATGCATTAGTTTCCAACTCTTTACCATCAGTGTTTTCTAATACTGGGGTATTTTAACTTTTTTTACTTTTGTGGAGGTTTTTGCTGCACAGAGCAAAGTAGATTCTTACACATTTCTGCCAACTGTTCATTAAGCTGCTTCTAGCTTMTATTATTCTTTCTCTTTCTTATGGATTATTTCCTGATCTTTCATTGCTAACATTTGCAGGTGTATTTTCTAGATCACTGATTTAATGGATTAATATTACAGTTTTTTTGTAGAAACTAGTCTCTCTTTCTACCATTTAAARTGCATTTGTTCCTTCATGTCCACTTTCCTTTGTTTCCTGTTTGTTGGTTGATGACATTCACAAAATTATATACAATGGTTAGGAATCTTTATCAGGACTGCAGATGATAACCAAACAGTTTTGTTTTGCAGCTGTGCTTCTTTGAAATGGAACTTAGACTGGTGGTTCAAAAGCACTGGTTTAACTTCAATTGCCCTGCYTATATTTTATGAATTGTTGGTATTAGGGGGTTTAAAAAAATCAGAATTATGAATTGAGGGTTGTTAGGTTTTCAGAATTTCTAAAGATTTTATTACTTATATAGCTGGATTTGGATTCAGGAGTTAAATCTTCTTTTAAAAAAATTACTTGGCCCTCAGTTCATAATACCTGTGAAATCAGAATTTCTGAAGTGTGTCTTACTCAACRCATTTCCATTTGAATACAGACAAATTAGAAACAGACGTAATAAACTCCTAACTAACGTTCTCATTATTCGTTTTTACAATCAGGCATCCTTAAGAGTGCCCTCTGTCTCCAGACCCCTTTCATACTGAGAATGGTACAATTTGTATTACCATGCTGCAAAATCGTGCCTTGGATGTGATTTTTATTACCATTATTACTGAATGAATAACCCTGACATATAATCATGTTCATTATTTTTGTTGTTCAGATTTGGAGGTCTTGAAGGGTGTCTGCTCTGAGTTTTTTACTTCTGTTTGTTTTGGGKTTTTTTTTCTGCAATTCCTGGGACCTCTGTAACTTCCCTGATAGGCAGGAGATGTCTGATTTTCTTCACATTAGATTGTGCCATGAAGATAGTATTTTAAAATGAAGGCACTCACATCAGTGCCTCCTGAATCTGGCATTTGGTTGAGTTTTTAAAAACACTCCTTTATCTTTCCTCTGCTAAGAAGATTTTCTTTGTCAATCTTTTCTCTTTTTAACTAACCATAAAATTCCKTATAAATAGTGGGTTTAGGAGTCTTTGAGATTCCACAGTTCCTCATGCAGACACACAGAAGTAATATTAATCCCACAAAGGTACCTTCATCCCTTTATATAAATGCTTCAAAGCATAGCCTTGTTTCTCAAGCATACGGTTATTCAGAGAAACATAATGCACACTTTGCTGCAACATTAAAAATAYTGTGTATTATATGAAAGTCTGTGGTAGTCATTTAGCAGGAGGCACTACAAAAATGCACTTCTCAGTAAATACACAATAGAACCTAGAATAGAACTTTTTGTTTGTTTATGACTATGAAAAGCTGGGGATGAATGCTCTGCAGTGACCAAAGCTTACAGTAAAAAATCRAACTTGCTAAGCAAAAAGCAGACCCCAATAAACATTTCTTTAACTGTATTATATAAAAGTTATTAAAAATTACTGAGCAAGTTATCATGACTGAAGAAAATGCTACATCTAGTATTTGTAAGACATGCCATCAGATACTGTCCTTTAACATATGTGTTCTTCATGGGGAAGAGTCAGCACAGCATATTCAGCCTTAGCTTGGTGTTTCATAAATTCTGAATTCTTATTGGAGCAACTTCAAGGGTCCTTCCATATTACTAACATGCCTAAGTTGTAGAAAGAAAGGAAGAGTAATGAGCTAAAAACTAGAGCCAGCCTTTCATCAAAGCTCTGTGTCTAATCTTTTAATTTTTTAATTAATACCCTTTTAAGACAAAATAGAGACTGCTACCAAGGGAATAACAAACTCCATTCCCAACAGTAATTTTTTCAGTGGCTGATGTTTTAAAGGGTTTTAGTAATAATAGATTTTTCTCRTGAGAAACCATGATTTTTATGTTTTCATTTTCAGGTAAGAACACAGTCCTGTGCTGTTTGGGCACAAATTAAAAGTAAGTCAATTTTTCTTTCAGTGAAGAAGTCCAAATTGTCATGGCTTTGCTTGGCAGCATAAACTAAGAGTTGCTGTGGCTTTTTCTTCTTTTGCCTTTCATGATCCATTGACTTAAAGGATTGAAAACATTAGAGACAGAAAATTTTCCTTGCTCTTCAGTATTCCATTTTAATGGATTCAACAATCCATTCTAAAATGGATTCTCTTGTTTTCCCCTGGTYTTTAATGTTGCTGTTTCTGTGTCTCACATCCAAATCCTTACAGCAATTTTTGTGCACGAAGTATTTGAAACAGAAAATGTGAATTTTTGGAAACCTATYTCAAGATAGTTCTATATTGACTTAAAGATTGCAAAATCAATCAAAGAACAACAACAATAACTAAAAAACTCAGAAAAGAACAGCAGTGACCTCTTTGCCCCCCAACATTTCCTAGCTTTTAGGGGCCACATTTTTTATTTTAGAGTGTTCAGGTGTTCCTTGGAAAATTACATCTTTCAGCAATCTTTAAAAGAAGAGCAGATACTGTGCAAAAATGAAAGACATGGCTAATTCATATACTTGCAAGCACAGTTTCTTAAGTGTATTGTGGCATTACTTTAAAACTCAGTAAATTTCTCAATGTGGTTTTACTTTGATTTACTTTTGGCTTTAAAATATTTGCAGTTAATGAGTTTACCTCAGAGGAATCTGAATCCACTAGAGATCATGTTTTCCTCCTGTAACAACTCTTCACCCACCTCATGCCTCAGCAAAAAGCAAACATTTGCCTCTCCTGACAAAGAAAACAGCACCAGTGGAGTCTCCTACAAGCCCAAAACTTTGCTTGTGAGCTGAAAGTCTCACAAATTTGAGTTGGAAAGGCAGTAACACTGGGAATTGTTTTGGAATCATGTTTGATGGAGTTGATTGAGTGCTTRAGGTGCATCTCCTCCTTATCTGATAATCACTATAACTCATCCTCTGGTGACAGCTCTGTGTTTATTTCTAGGTTTCTTTAATTAATTACTCTTATGATCTTATGAGCTAGATCATTTACCACCACACTTAGAACACAAGACAGACAGTTCTTTGTTGTGCAGACTCTGCAAAAATCAAGGATTCCTTRGAGTTGAGGGTCCCATTGCTAGGACTGTGTAGGCAATAGCTGTAGAATAACTCTGGAAAGACAGAAAATGGTCCTTCTCTGAATTTGTCATCTATCAACATGCAAAAAATCATCAAGGGCTGTCATAAAAATAGGTGGATTTTGTRTTTGGGGTTCAAAGAATGGGCATAGGAAGATGGGAGTAGGACAGGTCAGGCCTTTGGCTTTTTTTGTTGTAAATCCATTTGCCTTGATATTGCATGGACTTACAGCCAAAGTGTCCTTTGCCCTAATGTACTTCTGCTGCTGGAGAGGGTGAGAGTATTTTTGGCTTGCTGAAACCTTTGAGAAATATTTCTTAATTCAACTTGTGTGGAAGGCCAATTTGTAAATTAAATTTAAACCAAATGGCTCTGTTTCAGGTGCCATCCAGCTAGACATTGTGGGATAGATCACTATCCTAAAAAATTATGGAAAACTGTATTAAAAGATATTTTCTTCTGCCACAAATAAGTAAAATGAAATTTTAGTGAGTTTTATGATATACACTGGACAATATGGAGGGAACACAATTCTGTAATTTTTATGGAGGGCTGACATCTCCTCTAGAGATGCACAATTTGTTGATGGAAACTGGTGTTACAGTGTGCCAAGGACAGGTATATCTTTTATCAAAAATGAGCATTATAATTTTTTTAATACTCTAATAATGTTTTTTCCTCAACTGGATGGTAACTACTAGATAGCTCCATTACTGTCATCAACTGAGCCATAAATCCAAGCATCTGGGTTTTGTTACCAGCTATGAGCAGGCTTAGTTGTTCAGTCCCTGGACTGAAGCTACACTGTTTGTTTGGTTTGTTTGAATTTTCTGATGCTTCCTTTCAGATTTACCACCCACTCTGCAGTACATGACTGCAGTTGGATTGGGGTCAGTCGCTGCTGTCTGCGTTATCCTGTTCCTGTCATTCTCTGTGGCACGGTACGTGGTGTTGCTGCCTCCAGTTTTGTAGTTCTCCTTCACAAGGCTTGCATGCTTTTCTTTAAGGCTAGTTTTCCTTGCCAGCCCACTTGATTTAGTCATCTTGAGTGGTTAGAAACTGTGCTATCCATTGCTTGAACTGATATCTTCTGTGTCTTTGCCATTACTGGCAAAACATCTGAAAAGTGTAGGGCTTRCCTTAGCAAAGGAAGGATTAAAGACAGTGAGTAGACTTTAGTTCAGAAGTGTTACAATTTAATAGGAATYAGATAAATGACGTGTATATGCTGTCAAAATGTTGATGCACCTTGCTTATGTATAGAGCTTATTTTTATTCTCTCTAACTTTGTTCAAAAGGCCTGAAAATAATTGTTTTTYGGTAATGGTTGAACTTTAGTTAAAGGCCATGATAAAAACATGYTTAAAACATTTAACACATTTATATATTCATGTTTCGTGATCCTTCAAGCAGAGTCAGTAATTTCATAACTGATCTTCCTTTCAAAGGTAAAACAAATATGCAAGTTGTGTAATTGGGAATGTCTACATACATGTAAAACCTCTTCACTAAAAAATATATTTTTGTTGTTGTTTCAGTATGCTTATCTCTGAGAATAGTTTTCTGACTTAGATCCTTTGAAAAGTCAGAAGCCTCCAGCTTGGGGGCTATTGATTTGTTAAGCTGCTTGTTTGTTTTTCCAAAACAGAAGGAACTTATCTTATTTAGGGCTGAAGAAAGCAGATTTATTCGGATTGTTTCTGGTTGTCTAAATTTCAAACCAGTTTTCACAAGCAAAAATCCAAATTTAAGGTTCCATGTTGTCCTTTTTTTGGAAGTAATTAAATAAAGGGATCTCAGGCTTCCATTGGCAGTAGCTTGCAGTGGTAAACTTGAGCTTCCAGTCTTGGTTGGTCAGAGTCAGCTTTGACATTTGAGGAAAAATGGGCTGTAACTGTCTTGGTTTCTAAAGTAGCACTCCTGATGGGGCTTATTGCAGGAGGAAGGGCTTCCCTGGTCTGTCAARGTGTGAAAGGCTTCTCAGTGACTTCTGATTTTCTGGCAAAAATGTGGCAGAGGGATAGTACTTTTCAAAACTATGTCAAATTAATTAGGTTCATAGTGAAAGGAGAACGATTTGAGGTAAGAGACAGTACTGGAAGAATCATGTGGTTATGAGCCGCTTGTGAGAGAGCGCAGAGAAGATAGACTCTGAAATTCCRTTTCAAAAGGAATGAGGTAGCTGAAATCTTTAGAGAGCTGAGTAYGTTGAATACATTTGACCCTGATATATTGTGGGGGACAAGGATTTAATAATTCAATAAGTATTTTTTAGGCCCTTGATTCCCATGTACAGAGAAATCCTTTAATCCCTTATCTTATTCTAAGGAATATTAGATAGAATATTTGACAGAAATTAAAACTGCCCCATCCCAGTAGAGGGTAGAGAAGAGAAACCCCAGATGTCACTTCTTAAAAGACCCTTCACAATGCTCAGAAATAAGTATCGGTAATATTTATAAATAACAAATATTCTTTTAGTTGTAATTAACCATCAGTTTAATGCATTTCTGAGTAAGAATGATTTGAAAAAAAAAAAAAAAAACCTACATGAAGTCAGCCTGCTGCCCTCTCCAGCTGTAAAACCATGGTCAGGTTTTAGACACTGTACTCCAAGACAGATATGGCCTAGGAGGAATAAAACAGAGAAGAATTTGACAAGAGAGACCAAAGATCTGTCTGAGCTAACTGCAAACAGGACAATCTAGTGGCAGGCTGCTTAGCCTGGCAGAGAAGATACTGCCAAGGAGCATGATAAACAAATACACAAAATTCTACTGCAGGATGACAAACATCCTCCTGTTGTCAGTGCCAGTGGTACATTCACAGGCTTTTAACKCATGTGCTTCTGAGCATGTAGGAGAGGGGGGCATGGGAACAGATTGCTGTGCCTGCTGCAGCTTCTGGGTGGTCTGCAACAGGAGGTTAAACAAACTTGTCAGTAATGACATAGCTACGGCTGATCATGCCATGGTGTCAGGTGAATGGTCTTGGATTATTTCKTGGGGTCCCTGTAAGCTTCTGTCACAAAGAGCCACTGTATTCAAGTGCTCACCAGCTTGCCACATGTCTGCTGTCTCAGGAATTATATTTCCACAATGGGTCAGGGTGTGAATTCCTGCTAGCATGGTTGCTGACAGCACTTCCCAACTGTTCCTCAGTGAGTAAAAGCCTGGCACTGGATGCACGAAGAGAAGTCTGACTCCTGATATTCTAAGAGTTTATATTTTTAATTTTAAAAAATGCAGTAGCCCATAGTTGTTGTTATTAACGCGGCTTGTCACTCATGCACCTTGCTCCATTTCTCATAGTTCTTTGCATTCTTCYGTATGTGATGCCCATTCATATACATAAGGACAGTGCCAGAACTTCAGATTTCTGAAGATCTGCACTGGCTGTCAGTGTTGTTGATKCCAAGGTTAACACTGGTCAGGTAATCGTCAGGCAACCTGTGGGAATGCTTCTGATTCATCTTACACTGGCTGTAATATTCAGGATTTGTACCAACACAGTGCATCTTCAAAAAATTCCAGAAGAACTGTCATGTATCTAATCATGAGTGTTACAAGTCCTCTGTCAGGTCCATGCTTGAGTCTTGAATGRTTTGTAAGATTTTTTTTTTTAACTGAATTTTTTTATCTCTCCAGGTCTTATCTGCACAGCACAGTGCATACCTCACCTGCTTCTGTACCCTGTGAGGCTGTACGTTTATCTACTGCAGTAGACGTGGCACAAGCAGGGGCTGCATCATCATTCCTAGAGATTGAAAATGTCTCTCTTCTCTGATAATCTGTTCCCTGAAGTCAGCATAGAGAAAACGTACTCCTCTTTCAATGCCAACATCTGTCGGGTATGGACGTATCTTCACATCACATATGTGTGACTACAGCATGGGCGATTTTAGGGGATTTGTCACTGGAAGTGAGATTCCAGATGGTGCGGTGTGCAAAGGAGAACCTTCCTCACAAACAGGTTTGTGTCAGGGACATTGTCATGCATCCCATGTGCTGGTCACAGGCTTTCAGCCATTCCAGCTGCATAAGTGCCTGATAATGAGTGCTTGTATTGTTCTTGGTTACAYGAATAATCCCCTGATCCAGTTGAGACTGTTTGAGGATTAACTGCTACTTTGGATACCTTWGCACACATGAACTGGCCTATTATGAGTGAAAATACAGACCTACCCTTACATGAGATGAAGTGCCTATTGTATTCCCAATTATAAAGGTAGAACACTTCTGTCAGTCACAGGTAATGATACATCAATAATGTACACTTGTCAGCCATGAAGCTGTCACATTTAGGCAGTGTCAGCAACTGATGTGTTTCAGAGATACTGCGATCATTGCTCATAGCAATTAGCAATAATTGCAAATAATACAGCAATCTATAAAACTGCAGTTTGCTCAAAAGCCGAGTAACTTTAATGGCATGTGAAACTAATTTAAGAAAGGACCTTCCTGTGTTAGGTGCAGTTTGGTTAATCTCTGGTCTATAATTACAGCTGAGTAAAGTCATTAAATCATTGTCTGGTTAATGGGCTGGTGTGTAACATCTGGTTAGAGTCACTTTATAAAGTACAATTAACCAATTTCCTGTGGCATGCTTGCAGTTAATATATTTTTTTCTTCTGTAAGAAAGAATCAAGTGGCTTTGATTATTTYCACTCCTCTTCAGAAGTTGCTTTGTTTCATGATAGCAAAACGATTCTGTTAATCGGTGAAATAAAGAAGCAAGAGCTTTGGTTTTTACTCAATTTTGTGATTTTTTTTCTGTCACATTTTGTGTTTTACCACTTYAAATATGTGCTACCCATTTTTGGAATCAAGTTTCTGAATTGCTAAGATTCTGATGCCTGCTGCTCTTAAAATTTTAGATGTTCTGACTCTCTATGACATGTAATTAGGGTGTTTTTGTATTTGCAGTATAACAGCATATTTCATAGTTAGCAAAGACATATTACAGATAAAGACAGTTTTGCTACATTGAACTGAGAGTGCTTTTTCCAGGTCTGGGCAGATGCCATTTCWATTATCCAGCATTTCCACTGCTTACTGAATCTGTCCTTCAAGTAAGTAGTTAATAGTTAAGTATCAACACCTTTGTCTGCATTAGGGATTAGAAGTTGATAGCATTTTCTGTTGCTGATTTAGAATAAATAACTGTTCATACTGGGAAAGAATGCCTTAATTTTTCAGTTTCTCCTGTGGAATTCATTCTCACACATTCCATGCCTAATTCCCTTTCTCAATTGAACAGATTGCRAGGTTTGGTATAGCAGTACAAACTGCGCTGGTTCTTTCTGATTTGGTCTCCTGCTGCTCTGGTCCTGTGAGAGAGTTCATGAGCAGCTGTTCCTGTGTAAGGGAGAGCTGGAGAGGCTGGAAATTATTTGGAGAGACAGATGTGCCATTCTCTGCGAAAAAACTGAATTTTTTTCACTTCACTGAGACCAGCAGTGTTCCAGTATGTTACACAGGATTTAGAACATAAAGTCCATCTTGTCAGTGGGTATAGTTGGAAAACTGGAGGTCTTTGTGTAACCTTCAGCAAGTTTTTTCTTTTCTATGTGCCTCTTCTTTACCTAGGTTGCTTTTGCATAATACAAAGTTTTCAAGAGCAAGGTTWGCTCCTTATAAAACATCTGTGTTTCTGCTGGGACTTAGGTAATATATCTAATGACTCATTTGGACACCTCCACGCAGTGTAGCTTCTTAATACCCAGGAAAGGACTGAAAAGAGAGAAGAGATTAGGCAGGACTCTCAGGCATCTTAAGTTTTCCATGAAAGCTACGGTCCAGCAAGTTTCCCTAATTCCCTCTGCCTCCCTTGTCACTCTTGGCAGATCTACCTCTGGATGTGAGCGCATCTTCTTCTGCATTTATCTTACCATTTCGTGTGTGCTTACCTTTCTTCCATCTTTATCTGTTTCAGTTAAATGTAGGAAGAATAGAGAGCTAATTTAACTTTGCCATCCTCAGACAGATATGCAAATGTTAATGGTTTGTTTGTTACACTCTTCCTCTTTCAGAAATATTGCTCTTTTGCTCCCAAGCTTTTCTGCTGAACTAATTGCAACAGTGTCATAACTGCAGTCTCATGTTTCCAGAAATTCTGGTGACMTTTTTAATGATCCTTCATTGCAGTCCCCCGAGTTAATAGTGAAATTTATCTTCTTCCAGYTGTTTCTCTGTGCTTCCTTGAATATGTATTCTGCACCCAGGCCAAGTAAGATTAAACYAGCTGAATCTGCTCTGATTTTACTGCTGTTCTGTACCCCTACACGGTTCTGTACCCCTTCAGATATTGAAATGTGCTGTATCAAGAAACTTGTTCGTTTAGATATGTTCCGATGTCTGCACTATACGCAAAGTATTTTAATCTTTAGAGGAAATGAGAAATTGTTAGTCCTGAATAAACAACTCTGTTTAAGCTTAGGTGAAACTATTTTTCTATTTTATTTTGTAACAGTGAGACAACACAGGATGTTGTAAAAATCCAACATTTATGCAAGTAACTGTGATGCTATGTCAAATGAAAAGGTTTTTATTGTAAAGCACACTTTCTACTACATGCCACTGGTGGATCCTTTAAACTTTTTGGTGAGGTTTCTTTGTTTTCAGCATGGTAAAGACAGCCAGAAGCCATTCAGGTTTGTTTGTTCCATTACTTACAGTGTCAATCAGTTGTACATACAGGGTCAGATATGTAAGCCAGTGGCTTTACATGGTTTTAAGGCATGGTTTTAAGGCTTAAAGTTCCTGGAGATGAAAAACCTTGCAGATGCTCCCTCCCTCCCTTCCCTCACTCCCAACCCAGTGGAATGGGAAGGAAAATGAAAGTAAAATTTTTACAGTGAGATAAGAGCAGTTTAATAATTGAAAACAAARTAAAATGCAGTAATAATGGTACMTAATAATAATAATAAWAAAATAATTGGAAGAAACAACTAGTGCACAATGCTCATTGCCCACTGACAGATGCCAGCCCCTCCGCCTGACCCCACAYTGGCCGTGATTCTGGGTGACTCCCCCCAGTTCAAGTACTGGACATGATGTTCTGTGGTGTGGAACATCCCTTKGGCCAKTTCACCTGCCCAGCTCTGCTCCCTCACASTTTGCTGGGTTTTTTGCACACCTCCTCTTTGGCAGAGCATGAGGCAAGGAAAAAAGAAGTCCTCGATTAAGGATAAACACAATTTAGCAGCACCCAAAACATCAGTTTATTATCAACACCACTCTCATTCTGAATCCAAAACACAGCACTGTAACAGCTACTGAGCAGAAATAAATTCTATCCCAGCTGTAACAGGACTGCCAGTTTGCTGCAAGTTCTCAGATTTAACTATTCTCAATCACCATTCTGTTTCCACAGCCTTGCACTGTTTTGTGAGGCCATTTCATATTCAACACAGTTCAGCCAGAATCCAGCATGGGCTCTCAGGTCTCTAGCTCAGATGAAAGGATTTCTGTTCTTAGTGACAGAACTTCTAGGAAGTTATGAAACTCTGAAAAATCTTAACTCTTTGTGCACCACAGGCACTATCCTTTAATTTTTGACCTACATGGGGTCTGAGGAGTCAGAGGGAAATCACTGTATTGATGATATTGGTATTATGGAGTTATTTCCCTTTTGAAGTTAACAAAATGACCATTTTATGACCAATTACAGTCAYAAAAAAAAAGGGGGGGAGACTTGCTCTGGAGGTCTGTTTTCCATCCTTCCCCTCTTTCCTCAAATTTTTGTGTGCATTTTTTGAGAAATATTGCTTTTGTTCTTGCAGTCCTACAGCTCAGTAAGGAGCAGCAATCTTTCATTAGTGTTTCCCAAACCTTGAGCAGCACAATTTGTGTAGCTCAGTTGCAATTCTTGTTTTATGTTCCCTGGAGCCCTTGTTGGATCACCGCATTGTACATTATATGTGTATTATATGTGTGTGTGTATATATATATATATTTATGTGTATATAGTTTATTCTGCTTGTTCCGTTGCATGTAACTAACTGAAGATGGAGTCAAAATTTCACAACAAAGGTGGAGGAGTTTGGTTTCCACCCCAAGACTATAAAAAATAYTAGGACAATGGGAAACAACAAAGAATTACAAAAATAAAGTCAGTTTCCAGTAATTTCCAAAGACCCGCATTCTTCTGAACAGATTTTAGAACAGAGTTTTAGCCTGATTTTGGTTAAATAGTCACTCCTGCAGCCATCCTGAAAAGGCAGCAGTCTGGTGAAGGTGTTCCAAGCTAAAGACCCCAAAACAACTGTGCCAATACATTGAATAAAGACTAGCATAATTACCCTTTAAAGGGTAATGTAGATAAAAGCCATCTGTCAGCCTCTCCTTTTGCCTGTGTGAAATGGCCTTCTCAGTTTTGCTCTTGGCTAAGGAAGATGTTGGAAAGTTTCGTTTTGTTTTGCATTCCTGTGAATTCTAACCCATTTTTGGGTATTCTATTTCTGTGCATAGAGTTGTCCAGTCCTTTCCTCTAGAGTATTCATTGAGGCACAGAAAAACAGAGTCAAGTTGCTGTGGAATGCCAAATCAGTAGCAATTGTAAATATCTGCTGAGGGTCAGGGGGACAGGGCAGGGGTGTTTAAGACATTCTTGCCTCTTGCATTTGTCTCCAACATGAATGATGGACAAAGGGGGTCTCAGTGCCCTGAGCTGGAGAACCATGGCTCTGAGAATGATCAGTTCTCAGTGGACCTTGGCCCTGAAATTCTGTGAGATCTGCTGCTCTGGTTGAATATCTGTAATTATACAGGCCCCCACTGAGTCATCCAAGAATCCTCATAGACCTAGATGATGTCTTCACAAAATCTGTCCAGGTTTTTGAGCAGTTTTGGGAATACTGACAGGTCCCAGCTGACTGGAATCTGGTGAATGTTGTCCCAGTTATCAAGAAGGACAAGAAAGAAGACCCCAGAGGTTTAGGCTGGGAATCAGGAAAAGTTTCTTCACCCAGAGGAGGCTGGGCWCTGGAACAGGCTCCCCAGGGAAGTGGTCACAGCACCAAACGTGACAGAGCTCAAGAGACATTTAGAAAGTACTCTGGGCCTCATGGTGTGACTACTGGGCATGGGAATTGCACTCCATGATCCTTCAGGGTCCATTCCAACTCAGCATATTCTGTGATTCTGTGAAATAATGTCATCATCATCATCATTCACCTGTCAATGGCAGTTCTGCCTTTTTACAGTACACCAATCTCCAACTGGTAAATGAATAATATTATTATGTGATTATGCAGCATGTTTCAATATGATGACTTGTGTGGTTTTTGGCTTAATGAAATCCGGCTTCTTCCGGTTCTGCTAAATAGGATCTTAATCACATTACTTTTCATGGCTTTAATCTGTCAGATGTTCACTTTTATTACAATGAAACAGGTTCAAAACTGGGCCTAGATCCAGGTAGACTGAGGATTTCCTCCTTCTCCCCTGAATTTTCATGAAATTCCCTTGAAATTATGGAATCACCTGTGTTCCCACCCTGTGCYATTTAACATTTATTATTTCCAGGTTTAGTGCAATGATGTATATATTTACATTAGTTTAGAATCTCCAGTTATATTTTAAGGAAGAAAGAGACACCAGAGAGGCAAATTCATTGTGCGTTTTTTCAAGAAGATTTAAACAATAGTTGCAAGAATGTTTCCTGGTATAGCTGCAGCAGTATCCAAAGACTCTTCAGCAGTACAATAATTTATCCATTGCTT